AACAAACCACAAATCCCATTATCTCTAAAATACTGGTGCCAAGAAGCAGATGTATCCTTCATCTGTCTGGGGAGCACAGTGGAGGGGTAGTTGCACAGCTGTACAGCCGGGACCAGTATGCCCCAATATGCCGTGGTGGCAGGAGCCCATCACACTTTCCTGATACTTCTGCTTAAAGTAAGTGTGCCCTGACTAACAAAGGGTGCATTCACATCACTTGCTAGGAGCAGACACAAGAAAATGCTGACTGTATTCTTGACCCAGCTGGAAACAGGGGTTACACACATCTGGGTAAATTACAGAGTGCTCAGGAGCACCCCCAGGTGCTGGAGCAAGATCATCCTCTCTGCTCAGGGTTGTAGGGTGCTCCTTGTGCATTTATGCCCTATGCCACTTCCACCGCAGTGTCCCCAGCACCCCAAGGCAGTGCTGCAGAGACCTCTCCCAGGGGGGCAGCTGCCATGGGGTCACCTTGTTTGTGAGGCTGAGAGAGTCATCCCTCCAGCTGGTTTCACACCACAGTATTCCTGAGCTTGTTTAATTTACTAGTGTAACTTTGGCCAAAGTCAGCTCTGAACCAGAACTCGTGTAGCTGTACTTAGGCAGTGCTTGAGCCCAAGCTAATAAAACCTGCTGAGGGGCAGGATATATTAGCTGAGGTTCAGTGCTGTGCTAACATGGCTATATGGCTTCCAGATGGTTCAGAATTTAGGCAGCACTATTGCCTGCCAACGTCCATATATATATCAATATAAATATATATATCCTAAATTCCCCCACTGTAAGGACACTAATGAAGGTGAACTCACTCCTGATACTATACCTTGTAAATACCAGATCCACCAAGAGACTTAAGTGTAACAACCCAGCAGCATCCAGATTACCTGATGGCTATCGTGGTTAGGTGCCGAGGTTGACTGGGGGCAACCTTGGGATGAGACTGATAACATTTAGTGTTGTAAAGAGGAGGCTCAGGCTAGTGTGAAGTATTCAGTCAACTACCTGAAGAGGCCAGGGCGTTTCCACAGATTGCAATGGGTTGAAAGCAAGCCAGCCACCCTCTGTGACATAAAGAATGTGGCCATGCTGCTTCTCTGACGGCTTCATAGAAGAAAGAGACTTTGGTAGGCCCAATCTGAGAGGAGGAAAGGCTGAAAAAGACCATGCTCCTTCATGTCTCCCCCATCAACACTCAAGAAGGACCTCACCAATCCTCTCTGCAGCAATGTAGGATTAGGAGCGAAACCCCCTTGCAAGGGCATGTGTCAGAGTGTACCCAAATACATGCTGGAGAGGCAATTGGCCTTCTCCAGGCTTCACTTGGATCAAGGAACATATTTCTTTCAAGTTCCTGAAAGATAAGGAAATACCTGAAGTAAGAGTCAGAGTCTGGGAGCTGGCCTCTTGCTGCCTCCCCACCTCGAAGAGCAAGAAAGCCCAAAGAAACCTTCCATAACACAGTGTGGTAACAGAAATCACCTTAATCAGTTTGGGTATTTCAAAGTTACCACCAGCTTTTTCCCCTCTGATATTCAGGCAGATGGATAATAACTGAGAGCTGCAGTAATCTAAGAAAAGACACAGACCTACATAGGATGTTTTTTTGAGAGCTATGTATTTGGAACCTGTTTTCTTATGTGGATCAACAATCATCATTATTTGTTATCTCCCTCTCTCATCTTCTGTAGATAACACTAGGTTCTCCTCAGCAATTACATGAACAGTAAAAGGAATACACTTGCAGATATTAACATTGCTAACTTCCAATTATAAAAATGTTAAATGTTAATACAAAGGTGCTGATTCACTGGAATATGTTTTCAGTCTTAGGAGGCATATGGTATATATACAGGAAAAGCATCACATGGAGTTGTTTGAATTGTTTCTGCATCTGCATTGATTTTATGCTGCAATTCACCTAACACCCGCACTTCCATCAGTGTGAAAAGGATCACCTCTCATTTTAACCATGGAGAGTTTTCGTGTCAAAAGGAGGGAATCAGCCAAAAGGGGATGCTGCAGAATGTTGAGGAGACATTAAAAAAGAGAATCAAAAAAACCTGATCCTTAATTTACCACAGCCCCAGGGAAACAGTGCATTATATGTTGACAGCTTCCATATGTGTCATGCAAACCTTTATTCTTACTGTTCAAAATGAAAAGTCCCATTAAGAGAAAAAGTCTACATTTCATGCTAAAATGAGGCGTATGATACCAAATACTGTCTTAAAGAAAAAAGAAAACACATTCCAATGTCATGTGGCTTTTTTGTACTTTTTCAGCATTTTCAAAGGGGGAAAAACATGAATTACCATGACCAGACATTCTTCCAAAGTTTTTTTTATCACACTGTTATATTAAAATGTTACAAATTTTTTTATTCATCACGCAGAGATTATTATTATTTATGCATCATCTTCAGGGACCACCAAAGAAATATATATGTACAAGTAATTGCCTAAAAAGTTACTGAAAGATAACTGTAAAAAAGATTACTGTTAATGGTAATGATAACAATATAGTAGCACCCCAGAGTCTCAGCCACTGTTGGCACCACATTTTAATGGTGTTGCATGAATAAATCTAAAAATTAGTATGTATTTACAGACTTGATTATCCAGGGTCCCAGTACAGCAACTGAATGAATACCTCAAACAGGGATCCTCTGGCTTAGCAGAATCCCATTTAGTTTAATGGTCTGTTGTGATAGGAAAGTGAATGGATCAGGTCTTCTCATGAATGTCTCTCCAGGTATAGGGGCAGAACCCCTCACCTCCTGTAAACCCAACGGACAGCTGGAGGCCTGAAGAAACGTGCTTCAGACCCTCATGGCCTAAAGTTCACTTGAGCCTAGGGAAGGTTTGTCGTTTGATTTGAACGAGTGTCTGAGCTTTCACATAGAACTGGTTGGAGGGAAGGTGGGTGGGGTTCTCTGGGTTACAAACAGCGTCCACTACATACTGAGTCATGTATAAAAATTCATGTTCCATCTGTACACAAACATGTCATTCAACTGCTGGTGTTTCTAATAGCTTCCAGAAGTAACAGCAACCCAACAAAAATAATCAAAGCCTTAAGAGCAAAATTGTAAGAGCGTGAAAGGATGATTTTCCTTACGCTGAGCTGAAGTGGTATAGCACAGGTCTTCCCTATGGCTTTGAAAACTTTAGCCCCTAGAAAGGCACTCTTCTTGCATGAGTAAACTGAAAAGGGAACAGAAAGTGAGGGACGAGGGGAATTCCCTCTTCACTCAAGCAGCTGTGTTAAGAAATTCAAACGTGAAGTGCAGAAGGTAAAGCTGCCTGTGGCTTTGGAATTTAAAATAGAAAATTATCTATCACCTTTCTGATCTTGGGAGTAGGACAGGGGAAATATTTACATAAACTGTTCTTTTACAATTTCTTCAGTGTATTAACCTGAAGGTTTCCTTTTACCCATACAAACTTCCCTGATGTTTACTGAATGGATATAATTTTGAGGCTAGAACCAACAAATTGCTGGTTCCAGGGTTTCTTAATGAATGCCTTTCATGGATATTTAATTTTCAAGAATTTCTGTATTTGAATCTCCTGGAAAAGAAGTCAAAGATGGAGTTTATTCTGGAGCAAGAAAGCTGGCCAGAAGCCAGTCCACCTAATTTGGATGCTTGACGGAGGTGTCACCTCTCCAGAATTTTAAGGGCTTAAAAATGGCCTCACAAAACGAGGCTGCCTAACAGAGCTGCTCCCCATACAGCCCGAGCTCAAGTGCAGCGCCTTTGAAGGCTGGTTGAATGCAGCAACAACATGGTTTACTTTGCATTGCTGCCTCCGTTTTCCACTGACTGTACTCCAACCATATAGGCAGTATTAGGTGTAATGGTCGTCCACTCTGGTTCAAGCCTGCCAACTACCATCTTAAGCATCATGCCTAAAGGAGTACAGTTTTTGCATAACTCTCCAGCAGCTAGAGCACTTGCTGAAAAAGTTTGAGAGGCTTTGTTCACAGCCCAGCTGAGCCTGAGGGAGAATTCAGATCAAAAACAATGAGAAAATGTAGCCAGAACAAAGAAAGAATAAAAAAATATTAATCCTTGCACCAGGGTTTCTTCTGCTACTCATTAACATTATGTCAGCTAAGGTTTAGATTAACTGGCATCATAGATCCCTTGACCTCTGACATAAAAAGCTTTTTGACAAGAAAGAGCTAAATCTGAAAGTTTGCTTGTAAAGTAGTACGGATTAAGTGAACCATCACAGAAAAAACAGTATATAAGTCTCTTTTTATTAGTTTCTAAAGAAGTCTAAGTAAAGAACATTTCTTCTAAAAATATTATTGTGCATTGAGATGCATGTGCACTTTTTAATGAAGAGCATAAGTGTGAATAATATAGTAGTCTAGTAAATTTGTCCTAAAAAACCCACAGCACTGACTTCAGTTTTGATAGTGTTCTTCTAATTTTCAGCTAATTAAAATGTCCAAGATTTCAAATTTTTAAATCATTTCAAGATCAGAAAATTTTGAAATAATTTCAAATTATAGAAAACCAATTCCCACATTACCCAATCATTAACATTTCTCCAACATCAGCACCAGCAGCTATGAAGCACCTCCTGAACTGTCCTGAGTATTTTTGATACCTTTCTCCATGCTTCAGCCCAGAAAGGTCTTTAGAAACTTTCTAAAACAAAAATTCCACAAGTCTGCTTGAGTTTCCTGAATGTCATCATCAGTGGAAGAACACTAAAGTGGAATTTCATTTTGCGTGTAGGAGCTTTTATCCCAAACTGCATTTAATTTAACTTGATTCAGTTATATTTATAATTGCCATATTCTACACAATTAAGAGTAATAAAAAGCTTGCAGACTATAGCTATGGCAGGATAAGACTTGTGTTCGTTGCTTATAAACTCTCAGTGAATTGTCATCCAGTCAAGTTAAAAAGCACCAGTCTAGAGAAGGTTCCCAGCAAGAGATGATAAGTGCATTTATGATATTATGATCAACAGTGACAATCTTACCGTCCCCAGTTTCAGCGCAGAGTTGCAAGCCCAGATTGTTCTGCGGATTAATCACCCAGTGATTGCTGGTCACTGTAATGTCAAACACAAACCAGCCCACATCTGAAGCTTGAGCCTTTCTTGTGTCTAACAAGAACAAGTCTGCATCCCTAAATTAAAAAAAAATAGAGTTAAGGTGTTCAAATATTATCATTTTTTGTCCTTATTTCCTTGCTGACAATAACTTCTTGTAGTCCAAATGAGCAATCCTTTGACATATCCTCATCACGGCACAGTACAGCACGTGCTGCAGCTAACATGTAATTTTCAAGTATAATGCAGGTATTTCCCCTGAGAGGCCTTTCTGAAATGAGTCTCAACATGTGAAAACTACTGCTCTGGAAAATCTGAAAAATCCAGGCTTCCTGATATAAATACACAAAATACATAATTGAGGCCGTGCATAAAGGATTCATCTTTCAGCACTAGGATGTCTCAGGAAGATTAACTTTTATAAACCATTCAGTGTAAAAGACAAAAAATGTCAAAATCACATTCCAATTTCAACTAAAATTCAAAGGCATGGTGTTGCTAAAAAATCTGTTATTAATAACATATGGCAGCAGCTATATCATATGACAAAACACAAATAGATGACAGTTGAGACAGTTTCATATTAGTGAAGATGTTTAGAAAATAAGTCTCTATATCAAAGTAGAAATTATATATCTATTTAATAATGTAACTATTACATTTTAACCCTCAGTTCCCTGGTATATTCTCAAATTTGTTCCCATGAAATCTTCCAGTAATTCAGAAAGGCTGCTCAGGGGAGTTAGTATAATCGTGTTACTAAATGTTGAGCATGGATTGTTTATTTGTTCTGCTTTCACATATCTCCTGAAACAATTGGTTCCAGAACCACATATGTATTACAAATAATTTCCTACAATGACCACACTAAACCCAAGATATTTAACTCTCATCAGTTTTGTTTTACATGCTTCTACAAAGCAGCATTCAGTATTAAAAACTGTTTTCACCATTTAGCCTTTTAAACCAAAATCTATCGTTATAGAAACCTATTTCTTTTCTGCCATAAATGGTAATCAAAACAATAATATACAAAAAAGTATTTTATTCTAAATTTTGACTGTCCAAGTCAACTAAAGACAGACTTGGCTTACCCAGACTTTGGAGTTATATTGTTACCTTCCACACAGCATGCGTGTAAGTTTAAAGAGGTTAAGACAGACAGAAATAATAGGCTTTGTCTATAAAAAGTGGCTTTAAAATTACGATGGTCTTGTCACTGAATTCTTATGTTGCTTAATTGCAACAACATTGTAGGAAGTTACTGTCTTATTTAGACTAAACACTGTAAATACACCTAGAAGTTCTGATACTGAAAAAATCATCACATAGCTCTTGAACCTCGGTTGTTCAACGCACAGAAAAATGAGACCAAATGAGCTATGCAAGCATATGTTTTCTTACACATGAGAAATATCTGCAGAATCAAATTATAAAGGAGGGTTTAAAAAAAATTAAAAAAAAATAAATTGAAAGGGCTTTCTTTCAAGTCACCTTTTTTATTTCTGTTAAAGGATAATCTTTTGCTGGGCTCTTATCACTTCCATTCTAGCAGAACTGTGCTAATGACCACACAAGGAGAAAACATGCGTTCTCCCTCTGGAGCTAACATGAAAACAGTCTTACAATTCAAAAGAGCCAGACCTGCTATGCTAGCACTGAACAAATTAACAACGTACCACAAGCTCATAAATAGTACTCTCTGGAGTCTTAAATGCCAACTTTTTTCTCTAATAAGCAGTTTTATTGGAACTTTAAAGCTGAAAGTTTTAATTCTGAATGTGACAGTCTTTAAGATGTTTATTCATAAACATTTCTTGTTATCATTCAGTAGATACAATAGAAAACTGTAAAATTGTTTGGACTATAAAATATTGAAGTATCACAGTGCTATAATTTCAGATTTGTCTTGTCTCCTCTTAGCATACATAACTTTTTCCCCATATAGGTACTTTCAGCTCCAAACTTTGCTGGGACAGATACAAAATGTTCTCAGAAGTCAGAATGTACATCCATATGCCAAATCAGAACAGGACAGTACTAACAGTACGGTCCAGAAATCCTTATAAAGGACAAATTTTGCCTGTGGATCTCTCCTCAGTGTGACTTTATTATTTTGTACTGCAGCAGAAACTCACAGCAAAGTGTCTTTGGCACTGATATGTCAAACTTCTTGTCTGCCTTTCTGCAAGTATAATGACCTGGCTAAGGTAAGAGAGACTGTTCTTAGCCATTGACTTAGTAAATGAACCAAAACAGTAGGAGGTACCTAGAGAAAACTAGAACTGATTCTTGAGAACACATAAATAGAATAAAGAAAATGCCTCTAAACCAATGCTAATGATTTATCCCATGTAACAGCAATTCACTACAGAAATTCAAAGTATTTGTCAGGAAAACTTGTAACTCTTTTCACAACTGACATAAACATAGGGTGAAAACCTGATCCCTGGGAAGGCAGTAAGACCTCTGGGGTCAGGATTCCCCTATTAGATGGTGTCATTCATGCAAACTTCTCATCAAGTTTTGTAACATTTTTAATTTTAAAATTCTCCTTTATTCTGTGAAAATAATAATAATTAAAAAAAAAAAACTACTACACTTAAAATGAAAAACAGCTGCAAATTTTGGCTCTAATTTAAAAAAATATTTCTATTTAAAAAATAGCCCACAACACATAATAAAAAAGTAAGGCATTATGTCGTAAATAGCCTGAAATGCAACAGTGATCACATTCAGGCAGAATACAGCTGATTGCCTTTACCTTTATGGAGGTTGTTTAAGTTTAGTGATCCCAGTCTGTTCCCAAACGACCAGTTGTCTACAGCAAAAATGCTACCACAGTCAAGAATTTCAGCAAAGGCGCTGCGGGCAGAATGTCTAAGAAGCTTGAGATCTCCTGGGTCACTTAAGGAAGTAAAGGTGGAATAAACCATCTGTATGTTCCTTGAAACCCAGCAAAGTTTTTGAGCAGATCAAGTCACAATTACTATGTAATAGGCCATCCCCATAATGCTGCTTCACCTCTCGCCTCATTCCAGAAAGCTGCTTTAGTATCTTAATGCCACTTGAGGATTCCCTAATGCGGGAAGAATCCTTGGGGTTTAGTTAAATTAGTGGCTAGCTGCCACCAGATCATGAACAAGGATTTGGCCTGTTGGACTACATTACTTTCATCGTGAGAAAAGATCCGGGTAGGAGCACATTGGCAGGGCTGTGTAGGAAAGTTTGCCTTGCCATGGGCTGTGCTTTACACACTTACTTAGAACAAATAGAAAACTTCAATCCCAAAGACTGCCATTTCAACAAACTCATAGCAAATTCAATACGCACAAACACTTCAGCAGCCATGCTGCAAGAGACAGAAATATGTCTGAGAGTACAACATAATCCTTAGTCCACAACTCAGAAACCCAAAACCCTGACCACTCCTTGCCTGAAAGCATGGCAGGACTGTGTCTGGGACTTCAGAGCCCGGTCAGACACCCACATTTCCTGTTCAAAACTAAAAAGGGTGGAGAAGCAAGTTCAAACCCAGAAGTTTTATTGTGGTATGGCACCAGTAAGGACTGTGGGACATTACAGAATGACAGAATGGTTTGGGATGGAAGGGACCTTCAAGATCATCTAGTTCCAACCCCCCTGCCATAGGCAGGGACACCTTCCACTAGACCAGGTTGCTCAAAGCCTCATCCAGCCTGGCCTTGAACACTTCCAGGGATGGGGCATCCACATGGAACCCAAACAGTTTTATCATTCTATCAGGTGTCAAGAAGGAGGTTGGAAAAGTTCCTTGTTTCTAAGTTGAACAGTGGAGAGCTTGTGGTCTTCTTCTATACTGCCCCAGTGAGGCATTCGCCTCTATATGCTCCATATATAAGAAGAGACTGGCAAAATCAGCAACAGGAGGGAAACAGTCTACATCTGAAATTTCTGTAGTTATACTGGTGGAATCAAATTAGTGTCATAGCATTGCATGTCCCCCTTTCCAGCAACATGCTTCCATTAGAGGACATGGGGCTTTTATGTTTAAAAATGGAATTGTAAAGCATTTATAAATTTATGTTTTTATATTGAAACAAATCAATAGCATTCTTTAATGGTTTCAGAGACAGTTGTCATTTTAACAAGTCAGATAATAATACAATATGATCTTGCCTCAGAGTAGTTTTGCTTTCTCTAAAATAAAATAGAAACCACTTACTGGGAAAATGTATAAAGGAAAACCCCCCAAAAAATACAAGATCAAATGGATTAGAAAAGCTAACTTTTCCCATTAGTTCCTAAAAAAAGTCTGCTGATTTTGCAGGTGAAGAGCTTTCATCACCAGAACCCTGACCTGTGCTCTGTTAAAAGATGTTTTGTTCCTTCTTATTTCATTCCTTCTTCCAAGGAGTTTCTTTTAGAACCTATGTCAAAAGAATTTTTGCAAGCTGAAGACGGAGGTAAAAAAAATAAAAAATACCGCACTGTTTTTTTCCTGCCCAAATTAACCAAGCAAGTAGAAGATATTCTGAAAGTATGAGTGCTTTCCCTCCTGTTGGTTCTGCTCTGTTGATGTGAAATTAATCTTTGTTTATAGCCATAAAAAGTTTATAACTTGATATTCAGAGATCTCACCTGGAAAGTACAAGATGAAACTTCTGTGAGCAGAAAAGAGATTTGAAGTCTGGCCCTGCCTTCAAGCTAGCTGGTGATGGGGCATTTTTTTCTTCCAGAATACTCAGCAAGTTTAGGCTGCCAGTCTCTTTGCTTTTGCTAAATGTGCCCAGGATAGAAATATTTTATCTCTTCCAAGATGAGGGAGAGTTTTGTTTATCTCAAACAAAACTTTTTATTCCCACTTTTCTGAGGAAGGACATATACCAATTTAATTTCAAACCCCAAGTTCTGGATGCATGTAGCTTTTTTTCAGAAGCATCTTGGATTTGCTACTAGTTTTTAATGAGAATTTTCATGTGTTTAGCTACTTTGTCTGGTGAAATTTGGCCATTTACTCAGGTCTTACAGAGTCTTGGAAACATGTCACACACAAAACTCCTCTGCTAACTCAGATTCAGAGATTTGCTTGTGTGTAACATCATATTTTTGTTAATTTTCAGTTATTGTGAGCTGCATGTTTTAAGTGTGCATATGTGTTCTTGAAGTCAAGGCCTTACTTTATCTTTTAATTACATTTGGCAGATTATTAAAACACATGCAGAAAACCCCTTGTTCCTTCAAATGTAAACAAAGTTGGACAATATACCTGCCTTTAAAGAACTAAGTGAATCGTGACTGTTAGTACCTCAGTATCAGCAAATGGTGCGTTTCCAAAATCCAAACGCTTAGACTGTGCATGCAACTCCAGCATTTGCTCACTGAAAACATGAACCCTCACCCCCTCTGTGCATGGGCAGATTATTTGGTGAGATTGGACATGCAACTCTCCACAAACCTGGAAGAAATTACATTCAAGATAAGTGTTATTCTTGCTCAGTGTTTGTTGCTGTTGCCTAGGAATTAATACTGTGTAAGCCACAGCGATAGCAATGATGCCTTGCTGAGGATAAGCTTAAGATCAGCTATTGTCTCTCTACTTAAGATAGGAACATGAGACATTATTCAACATGTGGTACATTCATGCCAACGGGGTACCTGTTTGGATACTCCTTGATGATCTGATATATGCTAATCTGAATTGTTTCATTCTCAAAGCGGCTGTTACTTCTGTCTTTGTATATCCGGAATTCGGCTGCTGTCACTGCCTCTCCATGCGGGATTTGAGTTAGGTCAAAACGAAACTCTTTGTAATGCCTTCGCTGGTGGGAGAAGTCCTTGTCCCTTTCAACTGTGAGAAAAAGAGTTGAATGTAAATTAAAGAGGTGAAACAAATGCCCATTTCCCATGATTAATGGAGTGTTCCCCATGCTTGGGAGTAAACAAACAGGACAATATAAAACTGTGCAAATAATAAAACCACAAGCCCAGACATACTTCCATTTAAAGGAAATTCCACCAGCCCAGTGTCTTCAGTTCAAAAGAAAAGAAAAAACAACCTCGGTGGCTTTTATACAAATTCCAGAAGCTGAAGTGGAAAGAATATTAAAAAAAAAGCTGAAAGAGGACATGTTGTAAAGTAACTAGAAATATGGACAAACTAAAAGCTGCAAAAGGATTTAGTACTTCAGTGTAGTCATAAGCACATCAGTAGTAATGTCAGAGCCATAGATGACTTCGGAAAACAGTAATTGCCACTAATAACCAGGCAGATGAGAGGAATGCTGTTCATTTCCACTTAATGTCATAAATTCTAAAGTGGCACTAAAGTGCAGTGTGACAACTATGTATTTAAGAAGCAGTTACATCACATAAATTATCACATGTTGTACTCTAATGGCATAAGCATCATCTGGCCAGTGGTCAGAGGAAGGAGCCATGAATCAGGGCTGAGTGGTTCTGGCACCCCAGCGGTACAGGGACAACCAGTCCTGGGGTGACAAGTCCCCTCAAACATGCTGTGGGTGAGCAGGTGAGCACTCACTTCTTCTGACACTGGCACAATGTAAAATAAAAAAGTTAACCTCATCATTGCTTAATTCAGGGTTGCACAGAATTTTAAGGGGGAGTAAACGGAGAATTTTAGTTTCTTTGGGACTACAACGGATTTGAGGCTAATTCCAGTCTGCTGCAGTTCTGACCCTGTATTAAGAGTAACTTTTGCAATGGAACATGTGTTTTGATGTGACAAGGGAACCTACAAGCTGCAGTAATGGCTGATGAGCATCTTATGGGATTAATACTTCAGATTTTATGGATGTAGAAAGGAAGATGTTCCATGGGTTCCACTGTCACAGAGTGCAATGTATCATTGACCTGTGAAGCAGCTCTCTGAGAACTCGCTCCTGGAGAAGTTCCACCTGCCTCGTGAGATAGGTGCTTTGCTTTACTGGTGGTAGACAAAGCCTGATACACTCAGAGCTGGTATTCAGTTTGGATAACCAGTTAAACATTTATGACTGCACCCAACTACACTAAATGCTTCCCCCCTATAACACTTGCTCTTTTATTGTGTTTTAATACCAACAGTCCTCAGATCTGAGGAAAGAATAAGGTCAGTTCAGAAAAAGTGGATATTTCAATTATTAAATGTTACATGTATAAATAATAAAAGGTATATGTTATTACAATACATATATTTATACTTTATGCTCATGTATATGTGTACGCCTACAAAATTTTGTCTACATACAAAATGCATATGTGTTTGCATGTGTGTCTAAATATATATATTTATATATAAACCTGCATACATGTGGCCTTACAAAATACAAATGCTCTAAAATAAAATGAAAAAATGTTTTGGGCTTGCTATATAAAGTTACAATTACTGACATCCTAAAGTGAGAGCTCTTGAAGGAAAAGTATTTGCATTATTTTCAGAGTGTAGACACTAGTTAAGTCACCTGTGGTTATGTAGTTAGTCCCTTACAGTACACTTCCCTTTCAAAATATAAACTATTCTTTATTAGCATATTTTTTTTTTAAATGTACAAATCTATGTTGCCTGAAGAACCATCAAAAATAAAATATTTTATCTTTGGTGAAAATGAACTTTCTCCTGCTTGACAAAAAGAAAATTGTCTGTTAACTGTGAGGTTTCCTTGGCTCAAGCGCATATTTAGCTTACATGAGTTTGCCATCGTACACTATGTAGGAAAAGTAAAGTAGAGAAGAGGCAGAAACATGTAAACTGGCTGCTCTGCACCTGAAGATGAATGGGCTGCTACTGAAGAGAAACAGGATACAGGCTATTTAGCAGCTCCACTGCCCGGTTCTAAACTGTGAGATATATACAGAGATCTGACTTGAAGTTCGGGGTTTGTTTGCCTTTTTTTTTTTTTTTTAATGCCCATGTAAAGCCTTTCATTTTGGCGAAAACTTGGCAGAGATTAACATATGCAAATGCACTGAACCCAGGAGGAAGAGTCTGCTGCATTTTTCTAAGGTTATAACTGGGGATTTCAAAGCTAATGTCGAACAGATATGTCAATAACCTTTAAATGAAAAATATATTAAAGGCAGACTTAACATAGCAACCCTTTCTGACTTCTCTGGCTAGTATTTATTCAAGTTTTTACCAGCATATGTGGGTAACTAAGCACTACTCTCTATGAGTAAGCATTGGAGAATTAGACACTGAAAAAAAATTTTAAATGCCAGTACTCCTGGACTGTTTTGTTTTTATTTGGGTTTGAGGTTTCCTTTTGTCTAGTTTTTTTTACAAGTACCTTCTAATTAGTAACATTAGTTTGGAAACAGCAGTTCTCTCCCTATGTGTTATAGTTTAGACAGAAACTTCTGCAACAGCCTGCGATAGCATCAGTGAGGTTCTCTCAAGACTGCTCACAATTGCTGAAAGAACACTGATAGCCACTTCCTGATGAGCCCAAACTTAATTATTACAGCTCAAACAGATAGTACTTATCTGTGTTTTCATGTATACCCAAGGAAGAGACAGTGCTGCCATCTGAAAGTGACACAAGTTTAAAATTTCTTTGGGTCGAGACAGCATTTACAGGCAGGCCAGGACTTGGGAGAAGCAACAGCCTGCAGAAATGAAGGGCTGTAGGGAACAGGCGCTGAACACTGTGGAAAACCCTCAGTCTGGGGAGGTCCCGCTCTTCACAAGGAAGCCAAAATCTCAAACTGCAAATTTCCATCAGCCAATGTACAAAAGATCAAAACAATGTTAATAAATTTAGACAAGTTACAATCTTGCACTGCATAGCAGACAGAGAAAAAACAGTGGCTGTGATGTTGCAACACTGACTATTGACTACAACAACAGCCAAGTTATAAAAGCAAAATGTTATTTAATAATGTTGAGTATTTTAATAACAAAAATAATAACACAAGCCTTGATCCCTTCTTCATCTAATAAATGACTTGTCAGGGAAGACTGTGAATGCTCAGTGGGGTATCGCTCAGGTTCTTTGTCCTATGAAATGGCATGAAGTGCAGGGGGGCACCATGTCTCAAATATTTGTATTTCACATGTGGGAGTTTTCAGCATTGGCAGCCCAAAAAAATACAAGTTAAGATTTTTAAGCGTTCAGTTCTTCCAGAGAGTTCTCATGTCATTCCT